CTTAAATCTTCAAAGTTTTTCTGTTGCAATTTAAAATTTACTTTAAATTAATTGCCCGTGATAACATTAGCGTTCTCTTTATATTTTAGAAAGAAATTTTTTTCAGGAAATGTCCTAATTTTTACGAATGGAAAGTTATGAATCCAATAATAAATAATTGATATGAACTATATTTCCGTCTCTTAAATAAAGTTTTATGCGTCTGCATCGGCTATATAAAAAGGATGCCTTAAGTTTTATTACATCTACTAATTCAAATAATAATAAGCGGATTCAAGTATGCTGCCAATATCAAATAATTAAACTAGAGAAACAAAATGTCGATTAACAATATCATGTACAGTACTTGAAAAAATTAAGGGAACAAAAATGTTTTATAAATTTTTTGGTGATTTTTGAAAGCCTATATGTTAGTGAAATCTCTAGTTTTAAGATCTTTTGACAAAACGTTCTTGTTATCGAGGAATCAAAAGAAAAAAAATTTCAATATTTTTTTGGACTGTCCACGACAAGTTTTTTTCGAACTCAACGTAGAAGTCAGTTAGCATGTTTAATCAGCTTCAATTTGCTTTTTGAAAAGTCTCCGTACGACTGTTGATTACCGAAATATTTATGGTTCAATAAAAATGTACAATTCTGTCTTTAATTATCAATATATCAGTAACTAGCGGCCCGTCCCGGCTTCGCACGGGTGGACATTTACTTTAAACATTTTGGGATATAAAAAATATAGCCTATGTTACTCAGGGATAATGTAGCATTCTAATGGTGAAAGAATTATCGAAATTCGTCCAGTAGTTTTTGAGTTTATTCATACCAAACATACATACATAAAAAATACAAATCTTTCCTCTTTATAATATTAGTATAGATAAATTATTACACAGTAAATCCAAGACGAAGAAGACCTATCACGGCCCGTTTTTAGAAAATCTACCGCTAATTTACAAATATTGATGAAAATACTGATGTCGAGAGTAATTTTTATAGCGCAATGTATCCACAATAATCTTGTAAATTGACAAGTTGTTGCATCAAACTGTTTTTCTGTTCCAAGTGATCAAAGTTTTGGGAAGAAAAGGAATACGTTTATTTATAAAATCAAAAGGAAATTTTCTCTGGTTTTCCCATAATTTTACACTATATACCGTTTAAATTTAAGAAAAAACGAATAATTAAAAAAATTTCCAAAAAAATGTTCAAAGATTGTTTTTTTTCTTTTGGAAAAGTTGCTGGACATTTGAGAAAATAATATATTATCGTTTCTCACAAAAAAAATTATTGTTTACAAATACTTTTGATTAATTCTTTTTTACCAAAAAAAGTAGTTTAAAAAAAAACGAAAATAAATGTTATGATTATGAATGTGTGAATAGAGAACGAAATTCAGCTTGGGGTATCAACTTTGCATTTAATACTATTAAAAAAAGGTTGGTTTAATTAAATTTAAACGATATCTATTGTAAAATTGTGCGAAAAGTAAGAAAAACTCCTTTTTATTTTGATAATAATCATTACGTAATTTTCCTGAGCCATGGACTCGGGCCAAAGAAAATTTGAAAAAATTTTTTTTTGAGTTATTTCATTTGATTCCTCGATAATTACAGCCCTAAAAAATTTTTTGTCAAAAGATCTTAAAAGTAGACAGATAAAGCTTCATAACGGTTTTTTTATCTCGATTTTTCACTTCCTTTAACTTTTTCCAGTCGTGCATGTATAAACAGAAGTTGAGGCTTGAATAATATGACGTAAATCAGTTACGATTTGGCTTTCGCCCAGGCATCTACAGGTAGAGCTATCATTGACCAACCTACAACAAAGTTGATGAAAGTTCATTAACATTATTTGGAAATGGGCTACCCTGTGCCCATCGAAAACGTACCGCAAGGCATTACAGGGTAGTAATGAACTTTTCGGCAAAATCCAAAAACAGGTAAAGTTTGCTTCTGAGGGGGACAACTTTTGGCGCAAAAAGCATAGCAAAATCTTCAACCCCCTAAGTGGGGGTGCCATCCCCCAAATTTTTTTAAATGGGAATGGGGGTCAAGTGGGGGGTCATTAGAAAGGGCTTTTAATTCTCTATACATCGATTCTTACTTTTTGAAAATCGATCCATTATTTTAGAAAATATGCAGCTTTGAAAATACGAACAATATTTTTGACGAGAAATGCGAAAATCGATTTAATTTTACTTCAAAACTTACGGTATTAGCTTGGTAAATTCCTTCAAAAGAATTCGCTGTTTTTTTTTTTCTGATTTGCGAATTCTTTAGCCTGATTTTGGTGAGCAAAAAATTGTCCGCTTTTTGTTTCGTATTTAGATAGGCCACAAGAAGTTGCTAGATAACTGTCTTGTGACTTGTAGTTGAAGAGTACCAATACTGCCGAGTCTTTTAAATTGATTAATTATGGTGTACTCAATTCCAGAAAGAGTAGAAATTATTGAGCTTTTTTTCAAAAACAATGAATGCGGAAATCGGGTCGCCGAACTGTTCAACCAACGGCATCCTGAGAAACATGCGTCTGGAAAAATTGTTCGCGAATTGGTGGCCAAATTTCGCGAAACTGGCTCCGTTCATAACAAAAAGAGGCAGGTTGAAAATCCGGTACTAAATGAACCTACGGAAATAGCGGTATTGGGGCAAGTGGCAATGGATAGTACGCTGAGTACAATGCAATTGGCTACTGCGACAGGAGTGAGTCGTACAAGTGTCCAACGAATATTAAAAAAATACAAATTCCATCCTTATAAGATTCGGCTAGTGCAAGAGCTAAATGAAGACGATTTTGATCGTCGTTTGCAATTTTGCGAAATAATGACTGAACGAGCGATAAACGATAATTTCCTCTTTAATGTGTGTTTTTCGGACGAGTGTACGTTCTTCTTGAATGGTTTAGTGAATCGCCATAATTGTCGTTACTGGGCTGATACCAATCCAAGGATTTTCCATGAGACACACTCCCAACACCCCCAGAAGTTGAATGTATGGGCAGGTATTTTTGGAAATTCCATTGTAGGTCCTTTTTTCCTTCCTGGAAATTTGACAGGCGATATGTACTTGGATTTACTACAAAATGTCATCGACCCAGCTCTAACAAATATCATAGAGGACGACCCTGCTTACAATGAACACGAACTGATTTTCCAGCAAGACGGAGCTCCTCCACATTACTCGCTCAATGTGCGCAATTACCTAAATGAGACGTTTCCAGGACGCTGGATAGGACGAAGAGGTGCAATTGAGTGGCCCCCTCGGTCACCCGACTTAAATCCTTTAGATTTCTTTCTCTGGGGGCACATTAAAAGCAAAGTTTACAGCACTCCACCTGATACCTTGGAAGATCTGCGAGGACGAATCATTAATGTATGTCGCGAAGTAACACCGCAAGTGCTCCAGAATGTTCGACAACGGTTTGAAGACAACCTGTATCATTGTATGCAAGTTGGCGGACAACATTTTCAGCATTTACTTGACTAATACCGTAAGTTTTGAAGTAAAATTAAATCGATTTTCGCATTTCTCGTCAAAAATATTGTTCGTATTTTCAAAGCTGCATATTTTCTAAAATAATGAATCGATTTTCAAAAAGTAAGAATCGATGTATAGAGAATTAAAAGCCCTTTCTAATGACCCCCCACTTGACCCCCATTCCCATTTGAAAAAATTTAGGGGATAGCACCCCCACTTAGGGGGTTGAAGATTTTGGTATGCTTTTTGAGCCAAAAGTTGTCCCCCTCAGAAACAAATTTGACCTGTTTTTGGATTTTGCCGAAAAATTCTTTCCTACCCTGTAATGCCTTGCGGTACGTTTTCGATGGGCTACCCTGTATGTATCGGTAGCTAAAAATTTGTTATTAATAATGATATATAAATAAATTAACTCAACACTTCAACATTTAGAGTAGATATGCAGTTCTGTTAACAAGAAACTTCCCATTAAATTACGAACTAGTAAAAATACCAAATTTTAAATAGTTAAAAATTGTGTAATCACTATAGAGTTGCAATGGGAAATCGATGTGGACATATAAAGCTTATTACAAATCTTACAGTTAAGTTGATATGAATAGAAACAATACAAAAGTTTATGTCAAATTGTTTCAAAATTTAGGTGACACAGATACGACTTTATGTATTAACAATAGTGCATTATCAAATCCCAATAGATAAATCTTTGTTTGGTTATATATTAGGTGGTTCACATTAAAAATATGCAATATATTCTTCAAAATTCTCAGCTATAACACTTGAATAAACTGAAACCTACAGAAATATTGACATATAAAAAAACTAACTTTGAAAAATAACAGGAAGATAACTCCAACAACTCTGTTTTGGATAGGCAAATAAACATAGTTTTTTAAATAAATTACTTTTTTATATGTTTCATATTCTCAAGTACAACAATTGTATTGTATTTTATATACCTACTTTATCCTGTCCTACAATTAGTTTCTTGAAAAATAAATAAATACATTTATATAGTTTGATTATGCAATTTTGACACTTTGTTAATACCTGCAAATTCTTATTCGCATAAACCCCTAATATTATTTTAAAATGGTTTGTTTATTGAATCCGTCGATCGTTTAAAATACTTTTTTGTTGCAACTTATCAGTGGGGTTGCATATTGCCACCACCTCCTCTAACTCATTACTTCACCATAAAGGAAACCATATAATTTTAAAAGGATATTGCAAAATACCAAATCAGATCAGTTTCGACCCATAAGTAGCATATTCCGAATGCAAATTTTTGCCCCCATTTTTTTCGACACCTAATACCGTAAAGCAAAGTAAATCCATAAAGCTTTCTCTATTATGTACTACCGATAAAATTTACACTAATTATTTATTGCGACGGACAAATTTTCGTTTACTATTTCTGTTGATCCCGAGGGGAATACATTGTACCATAACTTGTAAAAGGGGCTTTATATATTGTATCGTTAACCTTAACAGTTTCAAAGCAAGACTAGTTTTGGGATGACGTGCTTCTACCTGTACCCCACCGTTCAACAGACCGAAGAAGAGGAAATAACTCCAGTAAGAAACAAGAGCGCGAGCTTGTAACATAGCGCGATATGAAGCTTGTGGTTATTTTGGTGAGTTACAATATTTTTCCTATTCCTCTCCGATTTCAAAACGTCCGTTGCTACAATCGCGATCGCAATTTCGTTTCATCACTTTTAATTATTGTGACGCTTCCCAGTTTCATGGTTTAAAGAAGATTTAGTTCCGTTCACGAAAAATTGTATAATTGCGCACTATTAACCCATTACTTTTAACTTGCTTTAACGCAAACTGTATTAATTACTGGGCATTTAAATCAATTTATCGTTCATTGTTATCAAATTACATCAAACAAGTTGGTTTTGATTAATATCAACTTGTAGTAACTAAAGGATAAGTTTTATTCAATAGAAATGTGTTTTATCCACATATTTGCTTTTAAAAATTAAAGTAATAATATGATAATAATGTAATAGCATGCGCAGATGTGGCTATTTAATATTTTTGGGCTGATTTGTTCGTAACATTTTAGAATGTAAATGTATGAGAGAATTTTATTTCAACAGGTGCAAGTCACATATTCCAGCATTCCAAAGTTTACTTTGATTGTCAATTTTTTGTTTATTCCTTCTAAGCAATACCTAAATAGTAAGTACGTGCTAAAAATACATTATACCGGGAGAAAAATGTTTCTTTAGTAAACATTGAAACATAATATTTTGCTTAAAACCTGCGACCTTATTGTACAATATATTTTATTTTCAGTCATTGTCATTAAAAGCAAAATATTTACTTGTTTATCTAATATAACTCATTGTTATTTATTTCATAACATAATTATTACTAACTAGGTACTACAAACAATATTTTAATATTGCGATAAACTGTGGCAAGAAAATAATTTCTAACCTTGAACAAAACCCTTTCTCATAGTTATATGTTTATTTTATTTTATTGATTGATTCGAAATTTCCGAAAAGAAATTTTATGCTCTTATTGTTTATGTCGTACAAATAAACAAGTACAAAAATAACGGATGTAATGTAAACACCATTTACATATCCAGACTTTTATAAACATCTTATCAAAATTTCATTGTTTATGCAAAAGCGTCCTAACGGTTTATTACAAGAATATCCACCTTCATGTAAGTAAATAAACGGTTTTTCGTTTAATTGAAAGAGTTGATGTCTGAAGAATTCTGAATTAAGGATTATTTAGTTTGGTGTTCCTGAATATTTATTTTTATATTAGGAATGAGTAAACCAAGCTCTTTTTTGAAGAATTATGTTGCTTCACATCTTGAAAATGTATGTAATCACATTCGATGTTGGCTCTATACTCTTTTGTGATTAAAGGTCCATAATGTAAAAAAGGTTTTGTTTTTAATTGCTTGAATTTGGAGTTTCAATAGTGGTGGTCATTTAGATACAATTTAAAAAAGTTATGAAGCTATACAATTTGATAAACAACAAACTTAGCTTCACGTAATTTCAATAAAGTAATAGACAAACAATATTTTAATTATTGTTTTATGAAATGTTCGGCAATAATATTATATGTATTACATACGTATTAAAAACAAATATTATTTGTCCTTAATTATTTAATAACTTGTATGGCATTTATTGCTCTATATTAAACAGTAACCATGCAATAATTGATAATTTCATATTTTAACTTCAACTATAATCAATCATTCTGAAAATAGATATTTCCACCACTAGTAAAAGTATTAAGTATTATTTCCTAATTAGCCCCAAGTTGCAAATGTTTCGTGGTTTGTTTTATCTTGTTCCTGTATTGTTGATAAAAATACACTGGCGCTTATCAAAGTAGTAGACCAACCTTACAAACAATTAAATGAACTTTTTCTAAATTGCTATGGAAGATCTAAAATTCTTAATCGACTTTTTCGAATTGCATACAGATGAGGTTAACTACACTAATAATTTTGAATCTTTGATTAATCTTCACTAAATGTCATGACTATTTTTGCCAACATACATTATTCATACTTTCAAAAACGGGTGCAATTTATATTTGTGTACCTATTAAAAGATAAAGCCCTACATTTGGTTAAATGTCATAATTCACTGCAGAAAATGTAATATCTTCTTCATTTTGTCATTAATCAGAAGCAACTACGTATTTTTACAACAATACGTCATATATTCAATGACCCTCAATATAATTAATACAACGACGACAGTTGTATTACTATTCCGCACCATCTAAGTGTCTACAATCAAAAGTCAGTCATTTTCTATATTTACACTACTCAGTTATGTTATGTAACTAACAATTTATTTAATTTATTTGGGACGTGTTTTAATCGACATATATGTGATACAACAAAGTTCGTGCTAAAATTAAGTCCCCAAATCACCGCATTAACATAATCGCAACTATCAAAGCGGTGCAAGCAAATGTTTGGACTCCAATAATTGGTACTACCAAGAAACCAACTTATTACGGTTTATTCACCAAAATGGGAAATAAGTTTTTGATAACTGAAGATTTAAACTAACGACATTGGCGGCAAATAAGAAGCTTATCTAGATAAAGCTGTATTCATGAATTCCTTTTGTTACTTTAAGGTAGCACATTTAATGTCGTTTTCAGTGTAAATTTTCAAATGCATTGCACTTTACTGACAAAACTATGGAAAACTTTATTCTCAGAAAAAAAATGTCAAAGCAACAGATTAAATATAATAAAGACAACTTCCGAATTGAGGAGAACTTTGTATGATTTTGAATTTAAAATAATTTTACGTTCTACTGAGTCTGGTTCAAAATACTTTTTCGTTCAATGAAGTACTCATAGTCTTATTCTCTAAATAAATCCAAACTATAGGTATAGGACTTTGACTGGCATTTGTCACTGTCTGTGTTTGTTGAGGTATCTAGTACTTTGTGAATGTTGTACCATAATAAGAAATAGTACTTAAATATCCTATTCTATTTCCTGTATAACAGTACCTCGTACTTTTGAACTACAGCAATGCTTATTACATAAAAACTATAATTATTTTTATTATAGACTCTGTAGTTGTCTTGTTACAATTTAATTTTAAAATTATATATTTAATTGCTCGTAGTTTTTAATAGTACAGTTATATTTACTCTTGGTTCCCGTTTTATAAGAAATAATGTTACCGAATATGTCTAAATTAATTACATTTATTTTTAGAACACCATATGTTTGCATATTTGTGACATCTGTAAATTTTATATTGACACAATTTTGGCAGAGGTGCGGAAATATACACAAGGTATTTGTGTATTTAACAGATTTCGAAACATTTAACATGTGACACGTTAACTATTGTTGCTCTATCTACTTGTCAAAAAATATTTATGTTTTAAAAGCATATGCAATTTTTTTTAAAGTAAACAATAAAATACAGAAATAAAGCTAATAATTAAGACAATTATTTTAATAACTTAACGATTTGAGACATTTGTTACAACGTAAAGAAAACCGGAAACGTTACAACAAACAAAAAGTTAAAAATAAAATATGTATATCAATATAAAATAGCATATTCTGTAAAATACCAACTGTAGAGAAATTTTAAATAGGCTTTTACCTGTATTCCTTTTATTATAAACATACCAACCTTTTTCTTCAATTACAGTTTATGATTTGTTTTAAATGGTATATAACACAGTTTAGTATCCCAAGCAGAACGCATATTGCAGCGTAATATTTTCTTCTGGTATTTTAAATAATTATAAATTTTATATTATTAAAACATGTAAATAATAACAATACACGAATACAGCAATTCAGTAAAAGTTGACCATACAAAAACGTAAAGTTATTCACTTTTTTAAACTATTTTCATTATTTATTTCTACAACTAAACTTTTTTTCAGTACACAGGTTTGTTTATTTAAAAACTCGAAACGACGGTCTCAATAAATTACTTCCACAATACGTTTTAAAATGTTTAGTATCTGGAATGGGAACTTAAAATAAGTTTTAACTGTTTTTTAAAAATTAATAAATAAATAAAACACATTACACTAAATGTATAATTGACATCAATTGAATATTTGCCATTTGCAACGTTACAGATTTTTGTTTTTGCTTCCCCAAAGTATAAATCAATAATTACGTCTTATTATATACATTTGGTGCAAGAATTATAATTAAATAAATAACAAACAAAAAAAGAATGGTATAATAAATAGCTAAATTAATAGTCAGCATCATGGAACCAGAATAATCTATTGCTAGTGTAGCTGATGATTTGCGATTTATTCATTACTTTTATTAACAATATTGTTTTATTGATTGTCAAAATTTTGTATTCTCTCAAAAGCTCTGACCACCATTTTTACATTCTGTAAAATGAATGAGATTTGGTAACAATTTGGAACATTTAATGATTTCAAGTCTAAAAAATAGAAAATACTTTTTTGTTTATTAACAATGCAATTAGAAATTCATGACTTCCAAATAAACAAAAAATTGCATTTGTTGTGTTTTTTGAAATATATTTGTATATTAAACTCACTAACAAAACTGTTTCTTAGTGTAATATGACCAACTTGACTATTCTGGACTATACCATTTCATCTGATCTATGTCAAAAGGAGAATAATACATGCAATTTGATACTATTGTCACGTACCCGCCTACAATTAAACTAAAAGCATGTTTTTTACATGTCATTTGATATTCTTATAGCGTACTGGCTTGCAATTAATCAAATGGCATGGCTGTGTTTTTCAGAGGCGATAACACACCTAGATTAATAAAATTTCTCAAATATCACGCAATATTTTAAATTCATTATTGTAAGTGACAGACATAGGTGATGTCAGTCTAATTAAAAAAAGCAGACGAGAATATTTTCAGCATCATTTTTGATAGTTTAATGTTGAAGGATGAATCCAAATTACCTGTATGTATGGATAGGTAACTTTTCTGATATGAAAGACTGTTATTTGAGGTAAATGTTTAAATGGAATGGCATATACAGGTTATCTACCATATTTTGAAATATCATAAAATTTTTAGCTGAAAATGTGTATAAACACATAATTTAGGATGTCCAAACACCATTTGAAAAAAGCGT